CTCACACTTGGCCGTGCGTGTGGACCGCGGGGCTCCCTCCGCTCACACTTGGCCGTGCGTGTGGACCGCGGGGCTCCCTCCGCTCACACTTGGCCATGCAGACGCAGCGAATCCGGTTTCACTGCCAGTGGTAGCGAGAGCATCGGCGTTTGCACACACGTGCTACTGCTGCGGATACAAGCTGTGCACACGCTGCGGCTGGCACTGATGTGTACTTCTGTCTGTCTCTGGTACGTGGTCCTGGATCCCAGGCCTGAGCTCTGGGCTGGGCAGGGCAGGGGCGGCTGGGCAGGGCAGGGGCGGCTGGGCAGGGCAGGGGCGGCGGCCATCCCGCCGGCCCTCCAAACACTGCGAGCTGGCCCCGGGGAGAGGCGGCCTGCCCTCTGGACTTCTCCAGGCTCACAGAGCTGCCGCCTTCAAGGACCCGTCTCCCCGTTTCATTCCACCTGTGCTGACTCCTCTGGGAGGCTTGAGAGCCCGTCCGAGCCTCTCCTCCCTCCGGCCACAGACTCGAGTAGAGATGTACACGGAGCCCCACGCGGCGCCCAGGGAGCCGCCGGCCTGCTGGCCCGAGGTGCTGGCCGCCTGGGCCTGGGCGGTTCTGCCAGTCCCTTCTTCCCACAGTGAGCCGCGGAAGGGCCTGAGGGCGCGGGAATGGCCGCGTGTGAACCGACTCCTCGCACGCCCGCAGCCAGGCAGAGCCCACGCGTGCCGAGCGGCCTGCCTCTCGTCCGACCCGCGAGGATCTTCTGGAACCCTGGCTCTTTCGCCCGGCTGCCTCCTCCAGCCTCCTCCAGCCTCCGAGAAGGTAGGTGACAAGCGTGTGTTCTTTGTGTGACAAGCGTGTGCTCTTTCTCGCAGCACAAGCACGGATGGTGAGCATGTGGCGTGGGCATGAGGCCGCACGGTGATCGCCCCCCACGGCTGCCCTGCTCCCCCCTCCGCCACCAACGATCAGAAAAGATGGTCAGACGTGCGTGGAGCCCCAGGGCCCTGCCCTCATTCCCCTCAGCAGGCTGGCACAGACATGGAGCGTTCCGGCGAATGGAGGAAGAACCCAGCGCGCACACCCGTGCTTTCTCTGCCCACATGGAAGGGACGGTCACCCCGGGCCGGCCCACGGCCTGGGCTGGCAGCCCGCCCCCCTGCACCTGGGGGACTCTCCGTCTCGCGCTCTAACCCGGCGCCTCCCCCCTCCGTGTCAGGCAGGGTGACTCACCCACTTGCCCAGCCCCGGGTAGTCGTGTTCCGGGTCGAACAGGTGCTGGTGCAGCTGGAATTCCCGGCTGAACTCGGCCGTGTCCGGGGTGTTCTCCAGGCAGCCATCCGCTGCTGCGGGAAGACAAAAGTGGCTCAGCAGCGGCCACTGTGCTTCTCCTCAGAGCCAAGTGCCCGACCTGCCTGGACAGGGGTGAGGGTCTGTTCAGAGCAGCCCCTCCCATAGCTTCCGCTCTGGGGTCTGCTCCCCGCAGGATGGGATCACTCGCCCCGAAGTCCAGTCCTGGAGCAGAGCCCCGCGGCGGCCAGCAAACCCACCTGCCGCCCTCCCGCCACACATGAGTGATCCCCAGACCCGCTCTGCAATCAGGCAGCGCCGGGCTCTGCAAGGCCAGCTGAACTGCAGAGGGGGCCCCTCCTCTCTCCAGCCATCGCAGCCGCCAAGGCCAGGCTCCCAGCAGGGCCCCGGTGGGTGCCATGAGGGTGGCGGTCCAGGGTATGATAACCAGAACCCTCGACAGACCAGAGCCTGGCTGAGTCCCTGCTCGTGCGGTTCCGACGGTGGGTGAACAGTTCTGCGTGCTGAGCTGCAGACGCTGGAGAGGATCCGTCACACGGGTCGACCACGCCTGCCACACAGGCCCCACCCCTTCAACGGCACCCACTCTGGCCGCGCTGTGTTTGCCTGCTTCTTTTCACTTTGTGGCGGGCCTGGCCTCTACCTCACCACCCTCCTCGCTCCCGACCCCGCTGGGGTAGAGGCGTGTGCACACGGCAGCCGTGGTGCCTGATCCAGCAGTACCCTGCCCTTCAGCCTTGTTCTTCTTGTCCGCTGTGTCTCTGGACGTCTTTCCCAGCAGGGTGGGGGCTGGGTCAGGGCCAGGGGACCTGCTGAGCCCCCCCACAGCAGGGGGAGTGGGGGGGGAAAGGTGAAAAACGACCCTCCCAGGTGGCCTGTAGCTGAGGCCGAGGCACAGCGCGTGGCCCTTGGGACGGAGGGGGAGCGGTCTGGTGGGTTCTGCCCTTCACAGAAGGAAGTCAGTGAGGCCGCCCTGGCCCGCTGGCCTGCCGGCACACACGGGAAGGGTGGCCAGAGTTTGGGCCGTGTCAGGTGCACACCAGGAAAGCTTTGGATCGCAGATCTCATGCACCTGCGTGGACGCAGATCGGGATGGAGAGAGACAGAGACTGACTCCAAACATGGGAAGAAGCCACGCGCGCTCCGGCTCTGGGAGGCCCTGAGGGGCACGCGGGCCGGGCCGGGCTGCGGCGCGCAGGGCGCTCACCGCGTGGGGGGAAGTCAGCCTTTCCCCCTCGGGCTGCTCAGCCAGGCTGCGCCTGCCCGGCCTAGGCAATTCTTTGCAAGGAGACTGAAGCCGCTTCTCACAGAGTGGCCAGGTTTAGCATGACCGCCCTTTCAGATTGCAGACTGGAAGAACAGGAAGCAGATGAGCTCTGCGAGCGTCTCCGCGGCTCCTCCGTTCTCCCGGCGTCCGAGGTGCACAGCGCTGGCCGTGGTTTCCCGTTTTGTTCTGTGTTTCAGGACACGTGGGAGCTACGCTGCGCATCTTTGTGGCGTTGTCTGTGTCGTGCTTTTCCGGGTGGAGGGAGTGCGCCTTGGGTGAATGGCTGTCTCTGCTCCAGCGCCACCTCTCCATTCTCCTCCACAGCAGCTCGCCCAGCTTCACAGAGCCACAGCCGCTGACTGCGTGGTGCACACGCACACACGCACGCACGAACTGCGCCCAGCCCAGGGCTTCTGGGCCGGGACACCTGCATCTCACGAGCTGGCAGCTCTCAGGACGGCGCCTCCAGACTCACCCCAGCCAGCCGCTTGGCAGGCAGACGGAGGAGCCGCAGACTCCACACAGGAAGAAGTGGGTGTGCAGGTGCTGTGTGGCAGCGTGCTGCGTGCCTGGCCCCTCAGTGCGGCCGGAGGCAGAGACTAGGACTGTGGTCCAGGCGTGTGCAAAACCCTGTCTCAAAGGTACCCAGTGCACAGACAAAGGGGAGGGGCTGGAGGCGTGGCTCAGGGGAGAGGAAGGGCAGGAGGGAGGGAGGGAGGGAGGGAGGTAAAGGAGGGGAGGGAAGGAGGGAGGGAAGGAGGGAGGGAAGGGAAGGAAAGGAAGGAAAGGGAGGGAGGGAAGGAGGGAGAGAGAGGTAAGGGAGGGGAGGAAAGGAGGGAGGGAGGAAGGGAGGAAGGGAAGG